AAAAAAAAAAAAAAAAAAAAAAAAAAAAAAACCTCAAATTACTACTTGAAAGCTCATATATACTTAGGAACCTGAGAACACAACAACTTGTTTTTACAGCTTATGTAAAGAATTATAACAGCAGCTGGAGAAGAATCTTATCAGGATTTTTAAATTATTTGTGATTTATCCATTGATCCATTTGACAAATATTTGTTGAGCATCTACTATGTACCAGGGATTGTTTTAGACATTTGAAATGCAGCAGTGGTAAAGCAAAGGTGTAGTACTCATGAATGATGCAGAAAATAAATGATTAAATATGTACACTTATGCTATGTCAGATGATAAATGCTAGAGAGAAAAAAGGTTTAAGTGGCCTCATATACATTTTCTCATGTTTAGAAACTTTAATAAAATTATACCTCTTTGATCTTGTGTGGAGAGTATATCTTTTATTGGAATGAATTTGTAACTTTTTCTTTTATATAATTGTGGTACATAGGCTGCCTAGCATTGAAATCTAGAAAAATTAATCCTCTTTTGCTGACAGAGAAACAGAGAGTGGCTCTTTTGTGGCTGATCTGACCTCTTTTGTTGATTAAGAAATCACAGAGATCTATGTTACTAATTTTACAAGATTACTGATAGCTATTATTTCTTCTTTCTCTGCTCAGTTTCCCTCAGACACCCCCAAGTATATTAGAAGGGCAGTAAGAGGTAGGGACAGTGTCTAGGTTGTTTGCTGATGTATTTCAAAACCTAGCACATAGAAATCACTAATACTTATTCGAGAATGAACAATTATGATTACATGATTTAGTGATTAGTCATGTCCTTTCCTCCTAACAATTTCCAAACTTCTAATAACTTCTAAAAAATAGAATTAATGTAGCAATTCATTTCCAAGCAAAACCAACGCATGGTGGCGCTGTAGGCTAAGGTTTTAAAAAAGACCTTTCTAAATGCTAGGAACTCCAGATATCTAGCAGGAAAATCCTGTAAGCAGAGTTATGACCACCAAGTCTTCGGATATTCCTACTTAGCTCCTGTTCAAACAGGTTATCAACTGACAGAAACTCGTCTAAGTCCTCCTTTGGATTGTTTCCTGACGTACTGCTGACCCCTGTTCCTGGATAGACATTTGCAAAAGTAAAGATGGAGGCCGGAGGGGAGCGCAAAGAAAGGCAAGTCCTGATTCTCTTTCTCTTACTGGGAGTGGCTCTAGCAGGCTGGGAGCCCCGTCGCTATTTTGTGCTGGAGGAAACAGAGAGCGGCTCTTTTGTGGCTGATCTGACCAAGGACCTAGGGCTGGGAGTAGAAGAGCTAACTGAGCGGGGAGCCCGGGTGGCCTCTGAGGATAACGAACCACTCTTGCAGCTCGATCAGCAGACTGGAAAATTGTTATTAAATGAGAAACTGGACCGGGAGGAGCTATGCGGGCCAGCGGATCCCTGTGTAATGCATTTCCAAGTGCTACTGAAAAATCCACTGGAAGTGTTCCGAGCTGAGCTATTTGTGGGTGATATAAACGATCATTCTCCAGAGTTTCCTGAAAGAGAAATGACTCTAAAAGTCTCAGAGATTAGCCCACCTGGGACTGTGTTTCCTCTGAAAAAAGCTCAAGATTTGGACGTAGGCATCAACAATATTCAAAACTACACTATTGGTCACAGCTCTCATTTCCATGTTTCCATCTTCGAGCAGGGAGATGGCAGGAAGTACCCAGAGCTGGTGCTGGACAAAGAACTGGATAGGGAGGAGCAGGGCGAGTTCACATTAACTCTGACAGCTCTGGATGGCGGCTCTCCTCCGCGATCCGGCACCGCCAAAATCCGTGTGTTGGTCCTAGACGTCAATGACAACGCCCCTGCATTTGCGCAGATGCTCTATGAGGTGCAGGTACCAGAGAACACACCTTTAGGGACTCTCATCGTCAAGGTCTCTGCTAGGGATTTAGATACTGGGACAAACGGAGAGGTATCATACTCCTTTTATAGTTCTCAGGAGATAGGCAAAACCTTTGAACTAAGCAGCCTTTCAGGAGAAGTTCGACTAATTAAGTTACTAGATTTTGAGACAGTATCCTCATATGAACTAGATATAGAGGCATCTGATGGCGGAGGACTTTCTGGGAAATGTTCTGTTTCTATTAAGGTGTTAGATGTTAACGATAATTCTCCAGAATTAACTATTTCATCACTTACCAGTCCTATTCCTGAAAATTCCCCTGAGACAGAAGTGGCTCTGTTTAAGACTCGGGACCGAGACTCTGGGGAAAATGGAAGAATGGTTTGTTCCATCCAGGATGACATTCCGTTCACGCTGAAACCTTCCGTTGAGAATTTCTACAGGCTCATAACAGAAGGAGCTCTGGACAGAGAGACCAGGGCCGAGTACAACATCACCATCACCGTCACCGACTTGGGCACACCCAGGCTCCAAACCCAGCACAACATCACTGTGCTGGTCTCCGACGTCAACGACAACGCCCCGACCTTCACCCAATCCTCCTACACCCT